GCTCATCCACGGGCCCCAGCGGGTCATGCTGGCTTTCTCTCAGGCTTCCGAACCCCTCACACGTGCCCGCTAGACACAGGTCGCATGTCATTTCTCCCGAAGCCTCCCCCAGCCCCAACAGTCGGTCTGGCAGCTGCCTCGGGGCTCCATGGAGCTCCAGAGGGCTGTAGTGAAAGCTAGCAAGAATCCTGGGAGCCACCACTTGTGGGGGGCTAACTGTGTGACAGGCATTGACATTAGCGCTTTACCGGACTCAACTCACTTAATATATACACAGCAGGGTGTTTAACAGCGTGGGCCCTGGAGCCCCACAGCCCCGGTTCAAATTCCGGCTCCATCACTCAGTGGTGGTGTAATCTTAGGCAAACGGCTTACCATCTGTGTGCTTAGTTTCCTCCTCTACAAAATGGGGAATGATCCTAGTACCTTCATTGCAGGGGCATCGTAAGGATTAAATAATTCGAACACTGAGACCCAGTCACATAGTAAGTACTCAGTAAATGTTAACTATTGCAATCCCATCGTCATTGCCATTGTGTGTAGTATCCGAGTGTCTGCTTTTTTACTAGACTGCGAGCAGCTCAAAGTCAGGGATCTATTTGTCTCAGCTCTGGACCGCCATGTTTCCAGTCTACAGTAGCCCTTCTCCCTCCTCTTCCTCTTCCTTTTATTACTGTTACTATTATATATTCAGTTTACAGATGAGGAATTAGGGGCTCAGAGAAGTTAAAGGACTTGCCTTAAATCATGTAGCTCATCAGAGCCAGAGCCTGGGTGGAGCCTGGGTCTGGAAGACTCCCGAGCCCTGCTCTTAAACCTTTCGTCAGCACGCCTCCAGACACTGGCTGTTGGCCAAGGCTGGGGCTCATCCTCATCTTAAAACTCATCCAGTCTCTGCACACAGCAGAGGGCTCTTTAGTGTTGCTGATGGATTGAACAACCTCGAGGGCCTTCTCCTTAGAGTGCACCTGAACCCAGGACAGAGCAGCACCTTGGTTTGCTCTGATATGCTTATTTGATGCCGAAAGGGGCCCTTCAAAGACATGGAGCCCCCATGTGTCTGATTTTGTCCCGAGGGTCAGGCTGCAGTCATTCTCATCACTTCTGATCTGCATGTTGAACTACAGGCACCCTCCTGAGACCAGGGCTCCTGGAAGCCAGAGGGCAGTCCAGAATAAGATTCAGCTGCAATAGAAGAACAGCACATTTCTGTTAGATATTTTCTTGCTCTTTTTCTCTCAAGGTTTTTTGCCTTGGAACCCCTGTTGTAAATGCTGTCGAGTGATTATCATGGGGATGATTCAGCACTTTACAATTTATTCATTCAGCATGCCTTTATCGTAACCGTGGAATTAATAGTTACCAGTGTTTAGCATTACTGTATTCCAGGCACTGTGCTAATAAGCACCTTATGTACATTATCTCATTTACTTCTCATAACAACCCCGGAAGGTAGGTAGTATCTCCAGTTCGTGGTAAGAAAACTGAAGCTCCAGAGAGGTTAAGGAACTTAACCTCTTAACACCGCTTATAAGTGACAAAGCCAAAACTTGAACCCAGGGCTGCCTGACATCAAAGCCTAGTCTCTTTCTATTACCTCCTGCTTGGAAGGGCATCCTGAAGAAGCTCCATGATGATGTCGGTTTAGGGAGTTGCTTCTGGAGGCTTCAACATTCACGATTTTTGTGCATATAAAATGGAAAAAAATGTCTGAGGTGTCGGAGGGAAGCAGCAACTGCAAATATATCTGAGAACTTGTAGGAAGCAAAAATAGTCGATGGAAAACCAGGCTTGCAAAACTCAGATAAGCAAGTGGCCTTTACTAACAGAGGTGTGCAGCAGAACAGTAAAAATGACTCATATCTGGGCTCGATTCAGAGATATACTTGGAGGCTCTATCTGTGAAAAGAGGGTATAAATTGGAATTTACAGCACAGCTTTGCAAATGTACCAATGCGTCCACTCGCAGGGAGCAGGAGAGAGGCTATTGCTCGTGCAAGCAAGGAGTGCACCCAGCTAATCTGCTGTGGCCTCCCCCCACGTTCTGTAAAGATTGACGAGGGATATGGAGATGCATGGCACGCGGTCCCGTCCCTCAGGGAGCACTGGAAGCCCAAGTACTTGGCACTTGAACAAGAGCTGTGCCTTTTCATCCACCAGAGAGCGGCGATGGAGGATTGTGTACCCCCTTTCACAGACCAAGGAATAGGGAGGTGAAGTGAGTTCCCGGAGGCCACCCAGCCACTCTGTAGAAACCAGCAGAGAGTTGCGCCTCTCTTGGGCCATCTCTATTTCGTTCACCACTGTATTCCCCACACCCGGTTTACCGGACCTGGCACTCAGGAAATGCCGAATGAGTGAACTCGAGTTTCCCTCTCAAGATAGGAGTCCAAATTGGAGAGGGGGAAGGGGAGAAAAGAAGGACCCTCTATGTCTGTCCCCTCTCTCCTCCCTCTTGGCATTAGGGGTAGAGGGGAGACTCCAGTCAGACCAGAGGAGACAATTGCCCCTTAGGAAGGTCATGTCTCTTTTTTGGGGTCGTGAGTCCCAAAACACAGAGCTTTTCCCATGGGAACCTGGGAAACCTCAAAGTCCCCTTTCCTAGCGTTCTCAGCATGGAAGGGGTAGGGAAGGGGGACAAAGGACCCACCTGAAGCATCCAGGTGAGTCAGTAAAGGGCTGTATAGGCCCGTGCTCTAGAGAGCCCAGGGAGATCTGCTATGACTTTTTGCGCACAAATGTCCTCCACACTAGGTTTGTTCTCTTGGATAGACTGCCCAAGCCATTCACAAGAGCCGTTTGCTCAATAAACCTGTATTGAGCACCTGGTCAGTTGTAGGACCTGTGATCACCAGCACGGAGGGAATAGGGATTTTTATACCTACCAGAAGAGGCAAGATGGGGATATAAGTATGCCAACTGTAAGGAGAAGGAAAAGATGAGTGGTCCAGGTTACTGGCTGTTAGCATTCAATGAAGGAAAAAAGAACTTTGGGGAGGGTAGATCAAGGAAGGCTTTCTGGAGGAGTTATCAGTTGAGCCGAGCTTTAAAAAATAGAGAGGATTCAGACCAGGACATTCCTTATCCTCATAGGAGAATTTCCTTTTAGAAGTTAGTTTTTTAGATCTATGACCAGTGGTCTTATATTTTAAAATCTCATTATTTCAGGATTCTCGGCAGTGGTTCTAAAGACTTACCAGAGCCTGGCATCCCCACTTAGTCACAAAGCAGAGGTCTGTAGGCTTGCAGGCCAGCCTGTCCTGACCCAGACCTCAGATGCTTGCCGTCTGTACAGAGGGGGGGTTTCCTGCCTTCGGCCATGGACTGAGACAGTTGAGCTGGTGTCTGTGTTTGATGCAAAGGCATCATGATTTGGTAGACAGAATTCAGGCTTTGGATTAATAAGGACTGCTTCGTAGTTCTGCAAACCTCAGCTTCCTAGTCTATAAAGTGGGACTGATGATACTACTGCCCTCTGGGGGTTGTTGTGAGCATTCGCGCAGTTCAGGCTGTAAAAGGACCCATAGAAGGTGCTCGCCGCAGCACCTATCAGTGTCAGTTAGGTAAACATGCCATGAGGAGGTTGACTCCGGGGGGGTCGGGGGAGGGGCATGGAGCAAGGGCTAGGTCATCCTCTCTGCTGGCCTCCTGATAAGCACTGGACAATAGTGGTCCGGTCCCTCTCACTGCTTCGGTGCCCTGGCCTGCAGCCAGCAGCCTGAAAGTCCAAGGGTAGGAGGGACACTCAGCCAGCCCAGGAGGCTGCTTCTGCTGCTGGCTTCTGTCCCAGGCTCCAAATGTCTCCATTAAAGTGCTGCCTGAGGACATAAACAAATGGCCCTGCTATTCTCACCTTCTCCCTGGTCCAAGGCTGTCTGCTGTCTGCCTGTTTTGGCTCCCATGCTCTCTTCTCTCCCCTCCCATTAAGGGACACCCCTGCTGGCACAGCATGGCACATCTTCAGAAGGCACCACGCACACTCCTGGGGACCGTCCTCATTGGAAATGAGGTTTCAGCCCCTACGTCGCTGCAGCAGACCTCTTGGCCTTTGGGGGAAAGTTGTGGTGGGAGCGGAGGGGAGAGGGAGGACTGGAAAGACAGGCGTGGGTCACATTCTGAAGGGCTTGCTGGACGCTGTGTGGGCTTTATCCTAAAATCGGGTTTTCATCTATAAATCTGAGATAATACCTATTGTTCCAAGTAGCTGAAGGGAGTAAATAAAAGATTTATCGCAATTCCCTTGTCTGTAAAGTGGGGAGAATAATAGCACCTGCTCTGCAGTAGGTCATGAGGATCAGCTGGATTTAAACATGTAGAGGGCTCAGAATGGTGCCAGGCACATAGGAAGTGCTCAATAAATGTTAATGATAGTTTTTAACAACCCCCAGGTGGTTTTTAATTGGGCTCACTCCCTTTACTCAAAGTTCACCTCCTACCCCCTACCCAGGCCATCACTGACCACTTAGCCTAAAATTTCACCATTGACCCCACACACCCAGGCCATCGGCCCCTTCCTGGCTTTATGTGTTCTCTGATTTATCAGCACCTCTGTAAACTATGTATTTTACTTATCTTGTTTGTTTCATTTACTATGTACCATTATAGATAGTTAGGGTTTCTCAACTTTTAGCATCCATTGGAATCACCCGGAGTTTGTGAAATGAGATTGCTGGGGCCCACCCAAGTGTTCATGATTCAGTAAGCCTGAGGCAGGGCCCAGGAATTTTCACTTCTTACAAATTCCCAAGTGGTGTTGAAGCTGCTGGTCTGGGACTACACTTTGAAAAACGCCGTCCCCAAAATATCAAAGAAACGGGGCAAAGCGGGTGATGTCAGAGGCTAGTTTTTTTTTTTATCTTGTTTATTGTGTCTCTCTTTTCGAGTTTAAGTTTCACGAGGACAGGGATTTTGTTCGCTTTGTTCGTTGATGTGTCCCTAGCACCGAAAATAGTAGGAGCTCAATTAAGTATCTGTCCAGTAGCCCGCCATCTCCCGACCTCATGGACACGCACGACCCGCCGCGCCCGTTGCCGCCCGGCTGCTCCCGCGTGGCCCTGGGGCCCGGCCGTGGCTGTGGCCGTGGCGGTGGCTCGGGGCCCCGCTGACCGTGCGTGTTTGTGCCCTAGATCACCCGGGCGGCCTGCAGAACCACCCGCGCCTCCGGACGCCGCCGCCGCCGCTCTCGCACGCCCACACCCCCAACCAGCACCACGCGGCCTCCATCAACTCCCTGAACCGGGGCAACTTCACTCCGAGGAGCAACCCCAGCCCGGCCCCCACGGACCCCTCGCTCTCGGGAGAGCCCCCCGCTGGCAGCGCCCAGGAGCCGGCCCACGCCCAGGACAACTGGCTGCTCAACAGCAACATCCCCCTGGAGACCAGGTGCGGGGCTGGGGGGCGGGCGGGGCTGAGCCGCAGGGGCGGCGGGGCCCTTCCGGGGGTCCCCTGCCTCCCTGGTCTGGGAGGCTGGGGTCGGGGCAATGCTCGGAGAGGTGGCTCTGGGCTGGCCTGGAGAAGGGGAGAAGGGCGGTGGCGGGAGGGGCGCGGGGCAGGAAGAGCCGGCGCTTGCGAATCCAGCAGCCCCCAGGTTCGGGGCTGGCCTGCCGCAGACGAAGGTATGAGCCCTCTGTGCCTTTTCCTGGTCTGTGCAGTGGGGATGCTGCTGGCTGGAGGGGCCGCTATAATCGTGGATGAGAGCTGAGTGTGTAAAGGTGGCAGAGAGCAGACCCTTGGTCAGCGTTTGATGGCGGCCCACACCTCTGCCTTTCCCTACTGGGATCTGCTCCCCCTCCTCTCCACTCCTCTCCCTTCCCCTCCCCTCGCCTCCCAGGGACTTATCTCCTTTATACCCCAAACCCTATAATCCCTAACACTGATACATCATCAACTAACTTTTAGTTACAAGAGCTTTCATACTTGAGATATGATGTCATTCTCACAGCTTCACGAAGAAGGCGGTATTGTGATTTGTGACCCCATTTGGGAGTTTCACAGAGAGGGTCAGTGACTAGCTCAGGTCACATGGACACTGGATGTGTGGCTACGATGTGAACCCAGGTTGCGAGACTCGTGGGCAGTGCTATTTCCTACACCACCTCCACCTTCTCCAGGTCTCCCCTGGCCCGGCCCCCTCCTCCTCTGCCTTCTTCCAGCCTCACAGAGTGCTTCCTTTAGGGGTTTCCGTCAGGGTCAGTTCCATAGCTGTCCTTCTTCCCTCTGGTGAGCCACTGTTTTCCCAAAATGGAAATGAGTTGTTTTCTTTTTTAAATAATTATAAAGGCATACAAGCTCACTGCAGAAAATGCAGAAAGATATAAAGACGAAAACTAGATTCACCCATAATCCCACCACTCTGAGAGAAGCACTGTTGACTTCGGGGGACAGAGCCTTTCCCTACCTTCTCTAAAGCTGAAATGCCCCAGGCAACACGATTAGAACCTCCTGACCTTCTACCCTATCTCTCAAAGGAGCGGGGAAACCTAGATTTTATTTTCTCAAACTCCTCTTCGTGATCTGTGGAGAGGACAGAAGCCATCCCACATTTAAAGATGTGAAATTAATCTATCCATGGAAAGTGCACCCACCTAACTATCTGGCACATGGCTGTGATAGTTGCACATCGAGTGGGTGGGATCCAGTGAAAGAAAATCAACATCCTTTTGTGCCATCTTATGTTTTACTCCTGTGGAATCAGTTTTTCCAGAAGCAAATTTCTCAGAGATACAGTCCAGCTTGCCTCACCCCCAGTCTCTTAATTAATATTATTCTGTTGACATCCTTTACAATCAGGTGTGAGTTGTCCTTCTGTGCCTCCTTCGCTCTCCTCAGTGAGAGAGTTGCATCATCCCACCCAGGGTAGCTTAATCAGATCTCCATTATTTCCAGGGTGCTTATTGAATGACTGCACGTGGCTAAGAGAAGCCAGCAAATAATCGATGGTTCTGATTCTTTGCATGGAACCCAGTAGCCACTCCCTCCTCTTGGATGTTCATTTTTCTCACTTAGGAGCAAAGTAGGTGGTTCTCCGGGTTTTTCAAGGGAGAGAAAGATAGAGGCCAAGCAGCAGGTGTTTTCCTGATGGCTAGTGTGAGATGCCGAGGTGGTCCCAGCTGACCTCTCTTGCTTCATCAGCCAGCTGACACCTGCCTTTCTGACCTTCTGTCCTCCCACACCCATGCATAGACCACAGGGAACTTTGTTTTCTTTTATGCTTTATCACTCAAGTAATAAATGTTCTACAGAACACTTAGGAACAAAGAAAAAATCACATGTATCTACCACCAAATGGTAACCATTGTTAACATGCTGGCATATATCTGCTCATCTGTACTCTTTTATATAAGTCCGTACAGATATAATTATATACATATTGAATGTTCAGTATGTGTACGTGTATAGGAGTATACATCTCTGTGGATCAGTCTTCCCCCAGATGCCCATCCCCTTCATCCCCCATGCCTTTGCACGTGCTCTCGTACAGCGCTCTGCCAGAGTTGCCCTCGTCCTCACTTCTGGGTCTCGCAAAGTCCTACCTATTCTTAAAAACCCAGAAGATCCCTGCTTGGCAGGGAGTCTGCTTCGCCCTCTGACCCTATCCCCTCTCATGTGTTCTTTCTCTCTCATTCTCTCTCTCTCAAA